CTTGAGAAAGAAGAACAAAGCTGGAGGCATCTCACTTCCTGATTTCAAAGACTATTACAAAGCTAGTAATATTTGATATTGATATTAATATTGATAATGTTTGATAGTAATCAAAACAGTATGGTAGTGGCAGAAAAATGAACATACAGATCAATGAAACAGAATAGAGAGCCCAGAAATAAACCCATGCATACACAGTCAATTAATTTATAACTAAGGAGCCAAGAATATACCATGGAGAAAGGATAGTTTCTTCAATAAATGGGAAACTGGGAAAACCGGACAGCCACATGCAAAAGGATGAAACCAGACCCCTACTTTACACCATACACAAAAATCAACTCAAAATGGATTAGACTTGGATGTAAGACCCAAAACCGTAAAACTCCTAGAAGAAAACATAGGAGATAAGCTCCGTGACATCGGTCTTTGTGATGATTTTTTGGATTTGACACCAAAAGCAAAGACAACAAAAGCAAAAAGTCATAAGTAGGACTAAAACAAACTAAAAGCTTCTGTACAGCAAAGGAAACCATCAACAAAGTGAAAGTCAACCTAGAGAATGGGAGAAAATAGTTGCAAACCATGTATCTGATAAATGGCTAATACCCAAAATATACAAAGAATTCATACAACTCAATAACAACAAAAAACCCCCCAAACAACCAGATTAAAAAATGTGCAGAGGAACTGAATACACATTTTTCCAAAGGCAATATACAAATGACCAACAGGTACATGAAAAGGTGCTCAAAATCACTAACTGTCAGGGATACGCAAATTGAAACCACAATGAGATATCACCTCATACCTGTTAGAAGGCTATAATCAAAAAGACAAGAGAAAACAAGTGTTGGCAAGAATATAGAGACAAGGGAACCCTTGTGCACTGCTGGGAGGAACGTACACTGGTACAGCCACCATGGAAAACAGTATGGTTTCTTAAAAAATTAAAAATAGAACTACCAGGGGCCAGCCCCATGGGCGAATGGTTCGGGCTCCACATGCTAAGCTTTGGTGACCCAGGTTCGCAGGTTTGGCTCCTGGGTACAGACCTATACCACTCGTCACCCATGCTGTGGCGGCAACCGACACACGAAATAGAGGAAAACTGGCACATAAGTTAGCTCAGGGCCAATCTTCCTCATGAAAAAAAAAAATTCTAGAACACAGGAACACTATCTTATTAGATAAAATCTGATAAAAATCAGTCCCATTATCTCCCCCAGGAAAACCTTACTTTTCCTCCTGGATTTTCTATCTTGGTTGCCAGCATCATCACCCATCCAACCTGCCTGTCTTTCACCCTTTGCTCTTCCCCTATATTCAAAAGGATACCAAGTTTTGCCAACTACAGTTTCCCAAGACCCTTCAAATATTTCTGCCTCAGATATATTTTCTAACTGCCTTAGTTAGGTCTTCATCACACTGGCTTCCTACCTGATCTCCCTACTTTATCTCACACTTAGTGGCCATGTTTAAATTTTCCAAAACACAGATCTGATCATGTTGCTTTGCTGAGTATAGACCTTAGCTAAATCTCCAGTCTTAGAAGAATCAAGCATGAAACTTTTCATTGGCATGAGGAAGACAGCATGGTGCTGTGAAAGGAGTATACAGGTTTCTGAGTTAAAACAAACCTGTGGGGGCCAGCCCGGTGGCGCAGCGGTTAAGTGCTCGTGCTCCGCTGCGGTGGCCCAGGGTTCCCAGGTTCGGATCCCAGGCACGCATCGACGCACCGCTTGTCAAGCCATGCTGTGGCAGCGTCCCATATAAAGTAGAGGAAGAGGGGCACAGATGTTAGCCCAGGGCCAGTCTTCCTCAGCAAAAAAACCAGGATTGGCAAAAGATGTTAGCTCAAGGCTAATCTTCCTCACCGGAAAAAAAAAAACAAAAAAAAAAACAAAAACCAACCTGTGTTTGAATTCTGACTTTTAGCATGTAATTTAAATGTCTCTGAAATTCAGTTTCCTCCTTTATTTATCTGACAGGGATTACATCATCTACACTCTTTCAACTCAGTGTGGTCCTTGGAGAAGGAGCATCAATATCACCTGAGAGCAATAATAAACACACCCTGCCCTCCGACCTACTGATTCAAAATCTGTATTTCAGTAGAATCACAAAATGACTGGCATGTACATTAAAGTTTGAGACACACCACAAATTGTTGTAAGGATTAAGTAGAAAGCATGTATAAAGCTCCTGACATAGAGTAAGCACTCAATACATGTTACCAATTATAATCTTCCCCTTTCCCCCTTCTATATCTTTGCCCTTCCTGATTCTTTTGCCTGGAATGTATTATTCACCTCCCAAATTACTGAAATCTTGCTCATTCTTTAAGTATCAGATTATATCTTACTTTCTGTATGAAGCCTTCCACATCCTTTATCAACCTGAGAAGAGCACTTTCTAACTTCACTTTCTACTTTTCATGTTTTATACTAGTGAACATGTTTCCCTCATAGACTATAAGCTTTTTGAGGGACGGGACAACATCTGGTTAATCTTTCTATTACCTAAAATTTAACCAGTGCCCTATCTTTAGAAGGTTTAGATAAATGTATTTATTGACTAAAAATAGAAATAAGAAAAGCAAGTGCACCCATGAGAGTCCTGGGAGTTAACCTGGAGCTATACACATATAGGTAATGAAAGTGGATGGCTAGGGAGCAAGTGTCCAAGAGAGAAGGTGAAAAGAAAAGAACTTCTGACGTGGTTCTTCCATTTTCAAGATGAGTTAGGGATCCATGAAACCTCTCTATAAAACACCAGAATCTGAGCTGGTTCCCCTAACATTCCTTTCCCGGTAGGACTTGGAGCAGTCATCCCTTGAAACTCCTTTCTCCTTTATCTGTCTCTAGCAGTGAAGACCCAAATTTAGATTACAGGATTCAGAATTTCACAGCTGGAATTATACACTGGAAATCATCTCAACTCAATCATTTGACAGATCTGGAAACTGAGATCCAGAAAAGTGAAATCACTTGCCCCAAGTTACACTGTAAATAAATAACAGAGGTGACCTAGTTCCAAGCTCAATAATCTTCTTTACTACATTTAACAGTTAAGATTCTAGCACATGTTAAAAGGAATGTGTAATATGTTTGTCATATATATGCCATAAATTTTTGCCCAATACATCCCCATATCACTATAATATTGACTAAAATTCAGTTCACTAATATGCATTTTACGCTGACAATATCCATAATCAATAGTTTATTTTACATTTGTATAAAGTTTACCCTAGATTATCTTTTTTTGAGCTATCCTGTTTATTTCCTTGGCATCAATCCAATTTTTCATGGATTATATTCTTTAATCTAGTTCCCAAGAGTTTAACCCATCTAACTCACTTCTCACATCTATATTAAATGAAGTAACATTAATTCTAAAATAATCCTGTAGAAAATCAGTATGCCTCTGTATAAATATAGGAACTAAGTGAAATTTCCAAAGATTGAAAGCTGAATAATACAGACTCCACCAAAACACTGGTTATGAGTTTCTTTTTTTTTTTTTAATTTTTTTTTTTTTTTATGAGAAAGATCAGCCCTGAGCTAACATCCATGCTAATCCTCCTCTTTTCGCTGAGGAGGACTGGCTCTGAGCTAACATCTATTGCCAATCCTCCTCCTTTTTTTTTCCCCCAAAGCCCCAGCAGATAGCTGTATGTCATAGTTGCACAGCCTTCTAGTTGCTGTATGTGGGACGCGGCCTCAGCATGGCCGGAGAAGCGGTGCATCGGTGCGCGCCCGGGATCCGAATCCGGGCCGCCAGTAGCAGAGCGCACACACTTAGCCGCTAGGCCACGGGGCCGGCCCTGGTTATGAGTTTCTATAGGCTCAAATAAAAAAGAAACATTAAAGTTACAAATTGTATTTAAGTTAAACTCTTATCTTTAAATTAAAAAGTACAATCTGGTTGCAAAAATATTTGTAAAAAACTTCTATAACATTTAAGGAAAGAGAATGTAAAGCTAAGATACTTAGAGTAGATGGTTCTATAGATCTACAAAAGGAAAGTTAATCTTAATTTAGGCTACATTTAAATAGAAAAGTCACTGTTAAAACACAGGAAGCACAGGTCATTTTCACAAACCACATAACATTTTTTTGACTGTTAATGACTTCTACATCAGAAGATAATGACCAACTATACAAAGCGTGAGGAATTGAAACAAAAAAATAAGATAAGGAGCCTGAATCCAAATATATTAATCTCACTGATATGATTTTTAAAACAGAAAGTATACTAATTGTTTGAAACAAATTTGAAACTTATGCTTGGTCCATTAAAAATAAAATTAACCAATTCACACTACCCATACAGTTTTATGATAAAATAGAGAACATACTAGCTAGTCCATCAAATCAATATTATTTTTCTTTTTTTTTGGTGAGGAAGATTAGCCCTGAGCTAACATCTGTTGCCAATCCTCCTCTTTTTCCTGAGGAAGATTGGCCCTAAGCTAAAACCTGTGCCTTTCTTCCTCTATTTTATATGTGGGACGCCTGCCACAGCATGGCTTGATAAGCAGTGTGTAGGTCCGCACCTGGGATCTGAACCTGCAAACCCCAGACCGCCGAAGTGAAGCACGTGAACTTAACCACTATGGCACCGGGCTGGCCCCGTGTGTCCCATTCTTTTAGTAAGCCACCTTGATGCCTTGTGCCCTCTACCTCCTGACTGTTTTCTCTGCAAACAAATGAGATTTCTTAAGTCATCTTGACTTGATACTGATTTTCCTGCTCTTAAAAAGACAAATTGAATAAGTAATATTTTAAAGTTGGGATATAGGCTCTAGTTGTTAGACTCTGAAATTTCAGACTTTAGGCTCATAGTCCGTTAGGGCTCTTCCAAAAATGCTCAGAATTAGGATATAAATGATTGATCCATATGTGTTAACTCATTGTTGCATGTATAATTTACGGAGAAGCATTAGAAACAATATTAATTAGAAAAACTATTGACATAAATAGCATGCACAGTACCTTTTGATAAACAATGGAGCACACAAGATCCTTGACAGCAGATAAAGATAGTTCCTGGGCTTCAATGGTAACACTCTCCCGTGTAAGACCAATTTGCAGTAGAAATGAAATTGTATGCACTGAGCCTCTGGAGTTGGTGAGTGACGGTGCACTGAAGCTTCCATTAGAGAGTCGGGCAGAGAGTCCTGTCTTAGGACTTGAACACGGAGAAGGAGTTGGAAGCACAGCAGGAAGAGTTACGGGTAATACAGACTTCTGGGCTGATGGAGGGGAACTGTTTGCAGACATCTGCCTTTCTTTAATCTTTGAAAATAGTTGTCAATTCTATTTCAATGGTTATGAAGAGGCTTTTAAAATCACAGCAGTAAAAAAATGACTGTACTTTTGGATTTAGTTGAAAGCTTCCTTATTTCCTCTTTTAAGCCACTCATGCCGATGATTTTAAGTTCTACAACTGTGAGCTGAATTCACAAAAGGTCCTACTTCCCTTAATTATCAGTCCCATCAAAAAAGAGTCTTGTCTTTAGGACCACAACTAGTGATTTGGAAAGGATTTAACGTCACTGAATTATCCTCACCAGAAAAGAGACGACATTGCTTATTTACTAAACATCTTCCTCTATTTTAAGTCTATTCTTGTCTCTCTCTTTTAATTTCAGAAAATACATACTGAATAAAAGTTGTTTTTCTGTCAAAATGAAATCCTCCTGGTTTAAAAGAAAATACCTGTTTAGGATTTATCTACTCAGTACTTATCCTTTGGTTCACTGATTTGATGGGACACTTTCTCAAATGTCTACACCTTAAATCACCTTCTCAAATGTTCTCATTTTCATTTTGAGGGGGGGTAAATTTTTCCATGATGAAGTACAAAGCTTTGAATATAGAACAGGCATATTTCATTTGATGAATGGGTCCATCGAGAAAAGTTGATGCTTTCTGAATTGTAGTCAGCCTGGAAGAAATTTTTTAAAAACTTTTAATATTTTATACTCATTTGACATATTATTTTAAAAATGCAAGAATCCCTATAATTTTTTAAAATGATAATCTTTGGTTGTATGTCTTTAATTCACCAATAACTCCTAATGGGTAGCCATTTTTTCTGGTCTAGTTGCCAGAGCCATTTTTCACTATATGTATAATTTCAGGGAGAGCTTCTTGCTCAAAGAAAAAACAAAAACAAAAACAAAACCTGGCACTCCTCACTAATACCTGAAAACTGAAGATCAAACACTTTTATTCCACAAATACACAAGTGAGTTACGACAAAAACAGAAAAGTAGAAGGGACAAAAAAGAAAAGTAAAACTGACATTGTCATAGAAATATGTACCACTCAGCCGCATAAAACATGTATAATACTGTCCTAACACAGATAAGAGTATTCATTTTTTTTTTTTTGAGGAAGATTGGCCCTGAACTAACATCTGTTGCCAATCTTCATTTTTCTTTTTTCTCCTCAAAGCCCCAGCACATAGCTGTGTATCATAGTGGTAGAGTTATTGCTCTTCTAAATGGGGCGCCGCCTCAGCATGGCTTGATGAGCGGTGAGTATGTCCCCACCCAGGAGCCAAACCGGCAAAACCCTGGGCTGCAGAAGCGGAACACGCAAACTTAACCGCTGCACCACCGGTCTAGCCCCAAGGGTGTTCTTTTTTATATTAAAAGTCTATTTCTGCCAAAATATGATTCCTGACTTGCTTTGTTGACAGATTTCTTTCAGAAAACTAAGGAAGCAGGAGGGATATACTATATCCAGCTATGTGGCTAACAAAGAAGTGTAAAAGACATACTTATGACAGGAACATAGGAGAAAGTGACCTCATCATAAAGAATTTCTAAAAATAAAAAAGAGAACACTGGGCACAGTTACATATGTACCACAGTTTTACAAAAGGAGAGTTCAAAAAGTGAAAAAAAAAGGTATGACCCCCATGGCTAAGTGACATGGCTCACAGCAGATGGATCCTTCTAAATTCCATCTATACACCCAAAAACAATTCCAATGATGAAAAAGAGTGACGCATCCAGAGTGGTTGCAGAATGCCTCTCTGGAGAGTAGTTAATAGGGCTGAATAAATTAGGATGAACATAACACAAAAGCAAAAACATACAAATATAGTATCAGGAATGAGGAAGCTCAGGAAAAACTAAGGCTTAGAAAAAACTATTTAAAGATAACAAAAGCTTTTATAGCTACGTTCAAATAAATGATTATTATCCCACCTAAAAATTGTATAGCACTTAACAACATATAAATGTTTCACATATTTTATCTCATGAGATCTCTTTGGAAGTTGACATTATCATTTTTGCCGATGAGAAAACTGAAGCACAAACAGATAAAGCCACTCGTCCAGCATCACATGGCTATTAAGAGGTGGAGAGGGAATTAGGACCCAAGTTTCATACTTTCTTACCAAGAGCTGCCTCCACAATAACATACTATTTCTCAAAGAGAACAAGGAACTGAGAGAATCACTGCTCAGAGAGGATGCTGCTAAGGTTGAGAGAGCACACAGAGAAGGCAGAATTGCTCAACTTGTGTTTTGCTTATCTTCTCTCAGCTTTCAAACTAAAGTTGTAGAAGAGTATTGAGAACTGAAACCTGAGCCTGGTGAAGAAGAGAGGCTAAAACAACTTTATATAGAGAGTGCTAGTCTTGGGGTCCAGATGCCACCCATTCCATACTGCTCAACAATCAGCAAGTGCAATCACACAGCTGACTCCTATAATCTTGGAGAAAGAGCTCAGAAAGAGAGAAGTAATCATGGCCTGGAGATGGGTCAGAGTTGCTTCAAGTCTTGTGGGCTAGAGTGGTGAAGCAGATTTCAGGAACTGTAGACGTATATAGTTAATATTAATCCTTAGTCAAATCTGAGAACAGATTATGAAAGCAAATGGTTTTTGAACCTAGAAAAGAATACAACAATCACGAGACGTCAGCATGAATTCAAACAGAACAAATAATACCAAATTAACTGTATTTACATCTTGGACAGGAATGATTATTAGACTTTTTTACACAGAGGAAATACTAATAGGTCTATCTATCTGCCAGACACTGTTCTAAGCACTTTATATGTATTACCTCATTTAATCCTGAAACAGCCCATTTTATGGCTTAGAAAACAGAGGCTTAGAGATTCAAGTACTCATTCAAGCTCACACAATTACTAAGGCCAGAAAAAATTAGTGGATTCTGGCCAAAACAGTATTCAAGACAGTTTTCTATGCTATTTTTGTACATATGCTGCTTGAGTGTGAGGTGGATATTAGCGACACTGAGTAAGTTTGCTGCTCTATGTCGACTTAGATGAGAGAAGCCTTTAGGGGAGTGCCTCAGAACTCTGTCCTTGGCTCTACGTTGTGTTTGATTATTTATAAGATAATAAAGACATAGAAGACATGTTTACAAAATACTCAGATTGTACAACCTTGGAGAAATAAACTACAAGTGAGACGTAACCAGTGTAAAGTTTTGCATTTAGTTTCAAAAAGTTAAATGTGCGATATATAAATGGAGAAATGCTGACATAGAAGCTGTTCATAAGAGGAGTTATCAACCCAAGAGTTTAAAAAAAAAGCTGCTAATTAATGGGTGACTAAAAGAATTAATGCAAACCAAAACCCCCAGGACATGAAGAACACATCAGCATCAATCTGTATACTCACTTGTTGCTAGTGAGCCAACATTACTATTATATTCATTTCTACGCTCAACATTTTTAAGAGCTATATTGATTTAAAAAAATAACAAGAGCAGGCAACCAGATAAAGGTGGAAACAATGTCATGTGCCAAATATATGCTTAACAAAACCAAACAGAATAATGGTCTTCAAATATTTGAAAAGGCATTAAGAGAATAACTGGTTTCATGCAGTATCACTGCAGAGGGCAGAAGTAAAACGAAGACAACAGCAGTACTTCCTTACCCCACAGGTTGTTGTGGGGGCTGAGCTACAGCATGTAAAGTAGCTACAACAGTACCTGCCTTACAGCAAGTGCTCAGTAAGTTTTAGCAATTTTCATAGTAATTAGATAAAGGAAAATTAAGCTCCTATGTTAGGCAAAACACTGCAATTGAGATATGATATTTCATTAAATCTCTGCAATAACTCTAGGAGATTTAACTCTATTTTACAAAAAAGGAACCAGAGTTTCAGAGAAGTTGTTGCTTGCCCAGACTACACAGTCAATAAGCGATTTGGGATGCAAACCAGTTTCCCTGACTCCAAAGCCCATGTTCTTTCTACTATTTCATTCCACCTCCATAAGCTAACAAGGGAACAGGTTTTCTCATGAGGCAATGAGCTCCTTGACATACCTGACTTGAGTAGTTTCAAAAAGCTGAACAACTGTCATTAAAAAGTAATGAACTATCTATGAATAATATTGTTCGCAGGTTAAATACTTCAAAATACAAGATACTGGTGTATTCATTAAGAATAATATATTTTTGATGGATGTCTTCACACTAAATTTTCATTTTATTATATCTGTTAATATTAGCCAAATGACAGTAACTAATAATACAATTAACTAATTTATCAGAACCATTGGTAAACACTAATAAACTATATAAATGTTATACTTTTGTATAAACAATATTTTTAAAAGTTGCAGCATGAATACAAATAGAAAAAACTAAGTGAGCTGTCATATTAGCTTCTGCCCACTCATCCCATCTGTTTTTCCCTCTCTTTGTTTTGATTTATGGTACCCTGATTTGTTTTGTAAGATACAACAAGAAGTAGGGTGCAAAATATTAAGACTAAATATCAAAAAAATCTAATAACTGATTTATTGTCTTTATGCTTCAATTAGAAAACTGAGAAAATAGTACATCTTACTAATTTCTAAATTGTATATTAATTAGATATGTTTGTTTCTAACAGCTATGAGTAGGCAAGCAATTCTAACGTTTATGGGGAACATCTCAAATCTTCTTTGGGGGAGTTATCTGTCACATATCCCATTCAAATGAGCTTATATAATCTGTCACCACTGTGGAATGGAATCAAAAGACAGGATATCCTATTAAGGGAATCTTGAGCCTAACCTGCCCAATTATTACAGACAAGGTAAAATAAAGGCCCTGGAGGTTAGGGTACTTAACTGGTACTTAACTGAGAGTTACTTCATGGTAAGATCACAAGTTGATCTACCTTTCTCCCCCCCTCCCTCATCTGCCTCCTATACATAAATTATCTCATATCTTAGCAAAGCCTCTAATTAGAAGAAGCTCTAATAGCAAAATTTTCATTCAACAAATATTTACTGAGTACCTATTATTTGCCAGACTATTATGAGAGACACTGGGGTTATACAGCAGTGACCAAAGAGACATGGCTACTGTTCTTTCTGGAGCTTCCAGTGTGATGTGGGTACCACACATTAAACAAATATTCACATAAACAGCAAGGTAATTACAAATTATGAAAAGTGATATGACAGGATACACTAAGAGGATCTAATTTCAACAGGGGGCTCAGGCGAGGTGCCCTTAAGGAAGTAACATGTAAGCTAAGACCTAAAGAATAAATAGGATGTCAGGGAAGCAGAGAGAAGTGAAGAGGATTTCAGGAAGGCAAAACAAATTCAGTTACTAAATACTTCAAAAGGAAGCTCATTATTTAGTGTAGCCAGTGTCCTTTCTGTACTCAGTAAAGGCTACAGTGAAGAGGTAAAATGCTTTTCCTATTCAGAATAGCACAATATTTAACCATGACTCCCTACCAGTAACGGGTTTTCCTGGTTCAATTTAGTTTTGTGTGCTAGGAATGCTAATAAATGGAGGGTCTTTTTTTCTCCTGTTGATATGTACATATATTCCTTTCGTATGTAAAAAAGCACGTGGCTGTTTTCAATGCAATACTGACCAGTGTCCTGAAGTCAATATCCATGCTTTGCCTTGATACAGGCTTGACTTTGGATAATCATCCTGAT